ATGTTTTGAGACCAATTGGTAAATTCTAACAGGGAAGCTCCGATGAGTGGAAGAGGCACACACCCCCTTCCTTCGTGTTATTCCTCGAGGCAGGGTGGGCATTCATGTAGGTGCCGCCCCAGATAAGAAGAGGGACATGTATAGAAGAGGGACTCTGGCTACTTCCCTTTGGCCATCTTTCTACCTCATGCCTCCCTTATATCCAGAGCTTAGACTGTCCGACACTATAACACAGGAAAAAATAATCAAAATGTAAAAACAAGCCGTCTTTAGGATAAGTGGGCCTATGAGGATTCCCAGTGGCAGCTTCTGACCCTCTCAAGAGCTGAGCTCACACTCTTGCTTTGGGTGAGAACTCAAGAGAGGGACATTTAGAAGGAACAGCAGACTTGGACAATAGCAATGTTCAGGAAGGCTTGTATTCCTAAAACCCCAGAGCAGCAACAGGTCCTGACATGCCAAGTACAGGGAGGAGGCAGAAGTGGTAAGGAGATGGGGTGGAAAATGGCTGTCCCCTAGAATGGGAGCCTAAGCAATGAATACCCATGGCTGGCCTGGGGTTTAGTCCTTACACTGGGCACCTTTCCCTCTCCCCACTGCCGTGGGACTGGGCAACCATTCTTACCTCTACTTCAGCACTCAGAAGCTTGAGTAGCTAATGGTCATTGATATCCCACTGCTGGCCACTTGTAGCCAACATTGTACATGTGTCTGCACACATACATGTGTACAAACACATATCACAGAGCATCCAGGCAACAAAACAACATACCAAGTACTTGTTTAATTTGCTTGTAGTTGAGTTGGTGTCTCATGTAGCTAAGGTCGGCCTCAACCAGGCTAGGTTCCTGAGAGTAACCTTGAACTTCTAATCCTCCTGCCTCTACTGCCAGAGTACTGAGATAATAGGCACTTGCCACCTAGCCAGTTTACATGGTACTAGAGATGGAACCCTGGGTTTCAATGTATGCTAAGCAAGCACCCTACCAATGAAGCTAGAGTCCTATTCCCTGTTGTTTACATGTTTGGGTGTTGGTGGTTGTCTCCCTAAGTAGCACAGGCTGACCTCAAACTCAAAATCCTGCTTCCAAGCCCAGAGCTTGGGGTCCAGTTGTGCACCACCACATTCGGCTGGCCCATTTTCATCCCTCACCCCTTAAGTGACAATAGGCAAGCAACTTCTCCAGCCTGGGCCCCAGCTTCCTATGATGCACCATGGAGAGGGTAAAGCTGGTTATCTTCTAGCTCAGAGGTCTAGGACAAATGATGCAATATTCACACCTATGAGATTCCAAAAACTGCACAAGTGACCCCTCATCTCTGAGGTCGCTGCTTGCCGTAATACCCCATCCCTTCTTGACGCCAGTTGCCTGCTTTATACCTCACCCTTTTAACTTTGGCTTTTACAACAGTTAGATTTGACTTTTAAAAGCGGGGTGGGTGGGCAGATGGTAAGATTGCCTTCAGTCCTGGGAATGTCCCCTAAAAAATATCCTGTTTGTTTTGGAGCCCGAGACCAAGAAAAACAGCCCAAAGTCGTCTGTTAGGAAGAATGACATGGTAGACATACTCCGCGGTAATGAGACTTAGGGGGGAAAGAGACCATTGCAACAAGATTCAAGTATTTTTAGATTAAGGTTTAGGGTTCTTCCACAGAAAGGTATCTGTGATTCACTTGGAGTACAGGAAGGAAGGAATTAAAGGCTGGGTGAAGATTTGAGGAGAAGTCAGCAAACCCTCATTCCAACCATACTGTCCTCCCCTTTAAGGGCCATGAGTAACCTGATCTCTTCAGTACTTCTAGGTCCTATCTCCAAGCCCTTGGAGCAGATCTAATGGGTGTCAACTTTGCCTTGTGCCATGGTTTGGGGATATGGGACAATGATAAATCACTTGCCTAGCATGCTTGAGACTGGAAAAATTACAACTCCCAGAAAGTATTTGTTTCCACTTTATCTCCCCTTGTAGATTCTAATATAGCTCTGAAAGCATCCAAATCGTCACTTGTACAAGTGGCTGTGTGAGTTTTAATTCTCCCAGGTTGCATGGTATTTCAGAACAACTGCTTCCACCTGGCCCAATGCAACCCAGACTTCCCAGAATCGCTCAGTCCACCACCACTAGTAGAATTCACTTCTCCCCTTCCACTAGCGGTTCCCTAGCTGGGTGTCTCTCTAGAGCACAGAATGAGGTGCCAAGTTGCTAGCTTTTGTTTAGAGCCATACAAGGGATCTCTATATCCCACTCCTGGGATTTCCAGACCCTTGAGTACCTTCTTCTACATCATGACCTCCCACACCCATAGTGGGGAAGGTAGAATCTCATTTCCCCTTTCCCTCTGAAAATCTCATATCATCTGGGAGCCCCTTTCCAGCCGCACACCACCCCCTCACTCTTTTGCTCTTTCTGCCTGGCCATCTCCTTATCCTGAGTTTCCCATAAATGCTTGCTGCCCCCAGTCTTCCCTATTAGGCCTGCCAAGACACAGGGCTATTTTTACCCCATTCTTTTCTCAGACCGTGGACCTCTGCAGACCCGAGAGGAGAACAAGCTGCTTCCCTCCAGCCCCCCACCCCTTCACCCCCACTTGGCACATCTGTGGGGCAGCTCAAGGAAACCCTGCAAGCCTGAGCCCTACCCCATGCACTGGAAGTTAGTCCTTACCTCTGAGCTTGTCCCAGGGCTAGGGACCATTTTAGTTCTTAGTTATTTCCCCTGTGGGTTGGGGGCTCAACTTAAAGTGAGTCTTTCTTTCTTTTCAGATTGTGTGTGGTGTATGCAAGTCTGTGTACCACATGTATGCAGTGTCCCAGCAGAGGCAGAAGAGGGTGTCAGACCCTCCTGGAGCTGGAGTTAGATTGTTGTTAGCCATCATTTGGGTGTGCAGAACCAAGGCTTAATTCCCTGGAAGAGCAGCCAGTGCCGTTTACAACTTAGCCATCTTTCCAGCCTCAAGCCATTCCACCTCAACTCTCTGCCCTCCTGACCCACAGGCTCGGTTCACATGTACTCAAAGTCATCTAGTGAGTGTCCCCACCCCCACCCCACTATTCAGATGGTGATGACTGCCAAATGGAAGGAACAGAGCAGAGAGGGGCACTGACCTCGGCAGAGAAGTCCCCCATCCACCCAATACCCATCCTTTCTCTCAGAATCAGCATAGGAAGGTTCACCTACAGGCTGAAAGTGTCCCCACGCAGCACAAGCTGGAGCATTTAAAATGAGAAAGTCACTTATTCTTTGTGATAAGCCCAGGTTCTGAAGGAGACAGCCACTTACTGTCTCAGACCCTGTTCTCTTTCCCTAGATGTCCCCTTTAAGGGCCACACAGGTCCCCAAACAACTAACTTACAGCCTCCCCCCAGTCCGCAGCCTACCACTAAGCAGTCAGATTGCATGGAAACAGCTCCAAGTAAGCACTTCCTCCTACCTAATGGGTGTTATAAATGGGAGAAGAAAGTGTTTTTGTTTTTAGACGGGGAGGTGTTACATGTCCCAGGCTACCTTGGCCTCTGGAATGATGGAACCACGGGTATGCATCAGCAAGGCAAAACTCTTTACATGGTACTTGAAAGAGTCCCTCAGCAGTATGTAGGGGCAGGGGCTGGGAGTGGTCCTGTTTCTGCCGAGGTCCTACCACCAAAGTCCCAGAACATAGGATAGGCCCAGTTCTCCCCCAGGCGCTGTCCCCCATCTGCACCGCTCTTGAGCTCCCTTAGGGGAACCGTGCCAAGGGCCGCATCTCAGACCGTGTAGTCACTCTAAAGCGTGGTAATCAAGCAAGGCTCGTTAGTGACCACAGCTCCCTCATACAGGTTCTGGAGGGTGGGACATGTGGGAAATTTACTCTTCCTTTTCCTTCCATTCCCCTCAGGAGCATAAACTAACCCCCCTCCCCCACCCCAGCCCTCAGTTTAGGAGAAGGAGCATCAACCAGGCCCAACACAGAGGAGGCAGGGCTCAGCATATTTACCTCTAGGGAAAGAACACCAATTCCTCACTCAGCTCAGGCTCACTCTGAGTGGGGTCAAGGCTGGGGTGTGCAGGGGCAAACCAGCATTGAGACTGCCAGCTGCTTTAAGGGTTAGGATACAAAAGCTACTTTTGTATGCAGGCAGAAGGAACTCAGAAAGGTGCTAAGAAGGCAAAGGGTGGAGCCTGAGTGTGCCAGCCCCCAGCCGCTAGCACCTTCCCCGCTCGGGACACCGCCTCCGCAGTTCTGCAGGGTAGAGGTGGGTGATTCACCCCGCCCAGACCACCACCTTCCCCAGCCCCACTTGCTCTCCCAACGCCCACCTCTACCCGCTCCACGCGCTCCCAGTAGAAGCTAAGGGCACCCGAGCACCACGAGACAGGGTGTCCCCAAGGACCTCAAAGTGCCTGGAGGCCAGGGACAGATGGAAGCAAGGGGACGCGCGTGGGCAGTCGAGGCTGGAGCGGGGGCGCGGAGTAGGGTGAGGGGTGCTGACGGTCGTGTCCCTTGCATGGCGCCCCCACTGGTGCGTGCCTGAGCCCTGAATCACCCGCTATATCGGGCCCACGGCACCGGAGGCCCCAGGCCCAGGGCCCCACAGTCAGTGTCCGCTTACAGAGGGTCCCTAAAAGACAACCAGGGACCTCGGGTATTCCTCCCACAAAACTTCCTTCAAGTGGGAAGACGTTTCACAGAGACAAGCCGGGAGTATTTAGAGTTCCCAAGTCCAACCCGTTAACTTTTCCACTAGGAGGTACACACCGCAGAGAGGAGCCTGGGCCCTGGAAAGGCATGAGTGAATCCCTCAGTGAGCCCCTCACTGCGTCCCAAGAATCCTCCACCCCACCCCACCCCGTATCCCACTCCAGCTGGGTTTGCAGGAAGGAGGGAGGAGCTGCTGACCGCTCCCACGGGGCCAGGTTGGCTGAGAGACGAACTTCAGCCGGGTGTCCCCACCCAGATCTCAGGGCCAGGGCTACGGGCAGGATGTCCCCCCACTCTGGGCGTAGTCTGCCCACGGGCTCACCTGGTAGATCATGACTTTAAAGTTGCGGCGCCGCAGCAGCTCCGCCTCGTTGACCTCCAACTTCTTTATCTGGCCGGCCTGGCGCTCCAGGCTGCCGCGCACCGTCTTCACGTTGACGCTGACCTTGCGCACCTTCTCCAGCAACTTGCTCACGGTGTTGCTCGTGGTGGCGTGCGCCTTGCCTAGCTTGCTCAGCTCTCCCTGGATGCTCTGCACGGCACCCTCCATCTCCGCCTGTCGCTCCTCCAGCTGGGCTTGGGTCAGCTGGATCTGGTCAACGGCGCCGATGATTTTATCCAGAAGGCTCAGCACCAGGACACCGTTTACCTGGTCCGACTTGATCAGCTCGTCAGAGCCGGTCCCCGACGGCTCCTCCGTGGCTGGTGCCTCCCCTGGGGTAGGCTCCGGGCCCTCGGAGGAGGCATCGGCATATCCGGAATACGGTCGCTCGACGATACGGAGCGTGACATCCTCCATGGCTTCCCGGAACCGTGCGGGGCCGGACGAGTGAAGCTGGAGCGGGAGACCGGGAGAGGAGGAGCGAGAGAGGGGAGAGAGCAGGAGCCCAGAGCGGAGGAAACTCGAGCCACGTCCGTGCGCACCAGGACGCTGGCCAGAACTGTGGGGCGGGGAATCCGCGAGCTGCCCGGCTCCCAGGCCAAACCCGGAGTCTCGTCGGCCATTGGCTGGCCCCACCCCAGAAAGGGAGGAACCGGGGCAGAAGGGGAGACTAACCCGAGAGGGGAACGGAGGGGGATACCATAGCCAAATGCCCCACCCTGTTCAGGATGGTTGGAATAGTTGGAACGGGAGTCTAGGGCCCCCTTGGAGGTGGAGGCTGCTGCCGCGGGACTGGGGCGGAGGAATGTGAGCTGGGGGAAGGAATCAGGTCCTGAATGTACTCGACTTTTTCTCTCTTTTAGTTTTTTTTTCCCCCCCACAACCCACTGCAGCCTTTTAAGATCAAGATTAGTACAGATGGAGTGTGAATTAGATGTAAGCTAATATTTTTGTCTATGCCCAGTGTCCTTGTAAGATTCTTGCCCTACACAATCTTTTTCAAAGGGATTTGAGGGTCCGCCCCACCACCTTTATACTGAATTACCACTGTCCCCAAAGCTCATGGCACTGTTAGTGAAGAGGAACGAGAGAATGACGTCGGCTTGCAAAAGCCTCTAGGTTTCTCTTGGAATTGTCATAACAGGGCAGGATTAAGGTGAGAAATAAAACATAGTAAAGGCTTTTAGTCCCCTCTCTAAAATCACCTCTAAAATCACTTGTTCTTCCCGCGGTTCTCAGAAAGATTAGGTGAGTGAGTATTTGAGGAGATCATGGAACCCCATCCCCTTATCTAGCAGAGAAAGGAAGGCCAAGAGAAGGCAGGTGGCTCGCCAGGGTTCATTCTAGGTTACTGTTAGCCTTTGCTCTTAGCCCCAGGTCTACTGGACTCCAGTACTCAGAATCTTTCATTGGGGCAGGAAGAAGGAAGGCAACTATGGCGATATTCCCTAATGGGGAAACAGTTTTCTTTCTAGTGGACACCAAGGAGCTGGCAGTTCTGAGCAGGCGCAGAAGATTCCTTAGCACAGAGGTCTAGAAACACAGGCTGCCCTGCTCCACATCTGGTGCTCAGCAGTCCCTGGAGCCACCCTAATTCCCTTTCCCACAGAGATTCTGCAAACCTTTTCCCTGCTTAGGAAACCAGGCATGGGGTTCCCCAGCTGGGGCTCGGCAAAAGGTCACTCTGGTCTGTTATCCACTATCTTTAAGAGTGGGGACTTAAGTGTCATCAGTCTGGTCAGAGAATCACCAACCTGTGGAGTAGGAGATTGCCATGTAGGCTACAGAACTTTAGGGACCACAGAATAATGCACCCCCCCCCAACACTCCAATCGGTTTCCTCAGAAACAAGTGGCTCTCTCACTTGAAGTTAAAGAGTGACCTTTAGCTGGCCTTGGTGGCACACACGTTTAATCCCAGCACCAGGGAAACAGAGGCAGGCGGATCTCTGAGAGTTTGAGGCCAGCCTGGTCTACAGAGTGAGTTTCAGGACAGGCTCCAAAGCAATACAGAGAAACCCTGCCTCAAAAACAAAGAGCATTGTTGCTCTTGCAAAAGATGAGGTTCAGCCCTCAGCATCCACATGGTGGCTCATGACCATCCATAACTCCAGTTCCAGGGGGTCTGATACCCTCTTCTGACCTCTGCCAGCATTAGGCAAGCACATACATGCATGCAAGGAAAATGCTCAGACACATTAAATCAATGAATAAAGCCTTTAAAAATGAAAAGAATTAGTTACATTGGTGTGTGTGTGTGTGTGTGTGTGTGTGTGTGTGTGTGTGTGTGCAGGCATGTGCAGAGGTCAGAGGACAACTTTTGGGAGTCAGTTCTCTCTTCCTACTGTGAATATTTGGAAACAAACTTAGATCATCAGGCTTGGTGGCAAGCGTTTTTACCTGTTGCTCCATCTCACCAGCAGCCCCTAAGTACATTATTTAACAGGCAAGGTACATATTAAAAATAGTACAAAAAGTAATGCAGTGTGGGAGGAAGTCATCTGTTTGTTGTTTTCTTTTGGATTATAAACATGCACCAACATGCCCAGCTATTCTTGTTCCTTGAGACAGGGTCTTGACAGCTCCAGCTGGCCTCACACTCATGGTCTCATGGTGATTCTCCTGCCTCAGCTTGCAGAATACTAGGATTATGGATATACTCCACCATGCCCAGCTGAGGAAATTGTTCTTCCTTTCCTATCCCAGCAATTAATTTTCCTCCCACCCAAGAAACCATTGTTAGTATTTCCCTGCAGAATTTTCTATAGCATATTTCTTATTTCCTTTTTTTTTTCTTTCTTTCTTTCTTTTTTTTTCCTTTTTCTTTTTTTTTTTTTTTTTTTTTCTTTTTTTGTGTGTGTTTTTGAGAGGCAAGGTTTCTCTGTGTAACAGCCCTGGCTGGAACTCACTCTGTAGACCAGGCTAGCTACAAACTCACAGAAATCACCTGCCTCTGCCTCCCAAGTGCTGGGATCAAAGGCGTATGCCACCACCACCAGGTCTACAGCATATTTCTATACACACAAATTAGGTGTAATCCTATATACCTGTAATCCCAGCTGTTGAAAGGCTGAAATAAAATGATTATGAATTGGAGGCCAACTTGGGCTACAATAGCAAGACCCTATTTTTCTTTCTTTTAAAAAAGATTTTTATTTTGTGTGCATTGGTGTTTTGCCTGCATGTATGTCTGTGTAAGAGTGTTGGATTCCAAGATCTGGAATTGCAAGCAGATGTGAGCCACCATGTGGGTGCTGGGAATTGAACCCAGGTCCTCTAGTAAAAGCAGCCAGTGCTCTCAACCACTGCAGGCCCCCTATTTTTCTTCAAAACAGAAAAAAAAAGTGGACATGGTGACATACACTTTTAATCCCAGCACTTGGGAGGCAGAGGCAGGGAGGTGTCTGTAAATTTGAAGCCATTCTAGTCTACAGAGGAGAATTCCAGGCCAGCCAGTACTACCCTGTTTCAAAAGAAAAAGAAAAGAAAGACATTTTGTGCACATAGGATTATATTATATATACATACATAGTCTTTTTTTTATTTTTCGAGTTGTTAATATTGCCTAAGATTTTTTCCATACAGAACTGCCTTATTTTCCCATGTATGCATGCACTATAGCATATTCAACCAGTTCCTTCTCAGTGAACAATTACAGAATACTTATTAAAGAGGAGCATCTATGCATGATTGCTAAAGCAATCGTTAAGTCAATGCAGTTTCGGCTTTCCCTCCAGGAAAGTATTTGCAGTCCACTTCTTCAAAAGGAATGTCAGTATTTGTGGATGAGTCAAGTTATGTCCCAGGGGGTAGCCCTATGAATACAGATCTGACTCATTTGATGCCTTCCTCCCTCCCAAAGAATTTTTGAAAAAGGGCCCTACCCCTGCACAGCGATGTTGCAAAAAATGTCCACATCAGCAAGCTTCTCTCGGGGGTCTTCTTATGAAATGTTGAGCTCTGTGCAATGCTTTACCAACTCTGCTGACACGGACCTGGAGCCCAGAAATCCTTTCCAGAAACTTCACTCCATTTCAGTGGAAACTGTCTTTTCCTTTGTAATTATTGCACTCCACATGCCATTGCCGGCTTTCAGGTTTGTCTTGCAATTGCTCTGTCCACTCACTGAAATGAGTGCTGCTCTGTGGTATGCATCAGCTGCTAAGGAGTTCACAACATGGATAGTAAGGTTAAAACAAAATTTCCTTTGGTGCAGGAAACACACACACACACACATAGAGGGAGAGAGAGAGAAAGAGAGAGAGACTTGTCAGCAGCTAGACTTTTCCAGTGCTCTGACATACCTCCAACCAGGCATCTGATCAATAAAGGGCAAGAATTCACCATGAGCCAGCTTCTGGGGGAGTGGGAGAGGGAGAGGGCTTCTGGGATAGAGCAGAGCCTATAAAGGAAGGGATCTTCACAACTCTGGAAACAGCATAAGTTATGGAAGTGGGTGGTAAACATAGCCAAGCACTGTCCATCTCATCATGGTTCTGTCCTTAGTTTTACCAGCTTACATTTAAGGAAATGCAACAAAAGGTGTAAAATCTGTTCCGCTCAGCTTTGGATCCCAGCTGGGACAGATCCCAGGGAGACAGTGTGTTTTGTGAACAATAAACAGTTGGGATGGATGATGTGTCCTTACATCAGAGAAACCAAGGCCAGCCCCTCAGCAGCTGGCTCACAGCTGCCACGAACAGCAGGCATCCCCACACCAGCTCTAGAGGCACTGTTTCTCTGGTGTATATAAAAAGGGGCTTTAGGCTGTTTCTCCTCCTCAAAAATTCATTCTCTATTTTTAAAGAAAAAAAATTAATATGTTGGCAGCTAGGTGTAGTGACATATGTAACCTTAGCTTTGGGAAGACAGAAACAAGAGAATCAGGAGTAGAAGGGCCTCAGTTACATAATGAGTTTGAGGACACTCTGGCTAAATGAGACGCTGTCTCGGGCAAATGAACAAACAGCAGAATAGGTACCAGGTTGGTATCTATTTTAGTGGAGTCACATAACTAGAGTATGTAAGGCCCTGTCTTGGGCTCCATCCTCAGAACTGCAATACATGAATCCATCAATAACTTTTTATTTCATTTCAAGACAGGGTCTCACTATGAAACCCCGGCTTCCTTGAATTTGCTATATAGACAAGACTGGCCTTGAACTCACGGAGATCCCTGAGACTGCCTCCAGAATGCCGGGATTCAAAGTGTGTGCCTCCACGTCCTGCTTAATTTTTGTTGTTTGTTTTTGTTTGATTTTTAGGCAGGGTCTCATATGTGTCTATCTTGGAAACCTCTGTATAGACCAGGCTGTCCTTGAACTCACAGAGATCCAGCTGTCTCTGCCTCCAGAATGCTGGCACTAAAGACCTGTACCACCATGGCCAGCTTATTTCAGTATGTTCAATAATTAGCCTTGGACTTTTGCCAATTTCCCAAATGTAAGGCTCTGTTCTCCCATTCCTCACAACCTACTTAGGCATCCTACATTATCCAAACTCAACTAAAGTAAGTATCTTTCTTGCAATAGGAGAGTGAGGTTATTTGTTGATGGTGCCATTGTCTTCTCAAGGCACAGTGCA